CAAAATTAAGGTATGACACCGATAATGACCATGCATCAGAACCCTAGTCTTAACCACTTCAAACTAGGGAACAACGAATAGAAGATTCGGAATCACATAGATGAAGACAACTAACTCATTTTTTTCCTTGTTTCAAGATCATCCTCGGTAGACAAAGCCGAGTCTTGTCACTATCAACAAGGCTCAAAAAGTAACAAGGACTAAGATGTGTTCGTTGGATTACTGAAAAATCCTGTTCCCCTAGTTTGAAGTAGTCAGGACTAGGAATCGGTGGTAGATCTTACATCCCGTAACGTACCACGAAAAGGTGATCTACCCACGTTACGGGGCAGGATTAGTTTTCCGTTTGATTCAACAGCGTAAAAGTGCTGTCAACCGAAATGAGATTAACTGGAATATTCAGAATAAGTTACATCATAACAGCAAATTTTGATTTCAATTTTATCTTCGAATTAGCTCGGGAAACCGCCACAGTTCTGCATAGTTAACAAAAATGTAATTTCAACTAAGTGATGAAAATCTGATAAAGCTACTAGCGATAAACTATTTTTACCAAAAAGCAGTCTTGTTGCGCACACATCTAAAGGCATATCGAGATGGAAGGTTATAGGCAGTGTTGGAAAAGTTCGCGATATTTCACGAAGTTCACCAAGGGAAAAGTTCGCGAGTCATAGTGAGTTTTCGCGAACTTTTCCATCACTGGTTATAGGGATACTGGATGCGAGACTATATGGTAACAAGATAAGCTCTCGGTCTTAGATCCATAGGCCAACATTAGAGCCATTTCCCCTAGTTCGATTTTTTTTAAATGATGCTATTTTCCGTCATGATAAAATTGTGTTGAAATAATATTTTTAGGGTTCATTATTTCTATTATAGGGCGTGGCGTTACTTTGGCATATGGGTCCCATTCTTCGTTTTATTTATCAATTCCTCCTCAGTTTTCATGACAAAGTTGTTGGAGTAGATCTTACGCTTCAGGTTGGCACAGTAATTCTCGATGGGACGCAGCTGGGGGGGGTTGATATTCAGCCGCTCCATCTCCTCCAACGATCGCTTCGAGTAGTGCCCTTATGGCCTTCGAGTAGCGCCCTTATGGTATTTCTTGATGAACGACGCAACTTCCGGCAGGCATTTCGTACTATAAATTTCCCCGTTCACGGCCAGTCCGGAGCGAAAGACTAAGACATGCTTTGACATCCCCTTCTCGCTGATTGTCAGCCACAGCAGCACCTTTTTGGGGAATTTGGTTTGTGAAATGAACTTCACCTCGGAGCTCACTTCCTTCGTGGGGGAAGCAAAATACGAAGTGCCCGGCCAGTCGATGCCATCCAGGGTGAGATACGTCTCGTCGTCCATCACTACCGCCACGTCGCAATTCGCCGGGAAAACGAGTTGACCATCTTATTCAGCCACTTTTTCTTCTTCTTCTTCTTCGCATTTCAAGCTTATTGCGTGCTCTCAACTTAGTGTTCTAGATGCACTTCCACAGTTATTAATTGAGAGCTTTCGATGCCTGTACCATTTTTGCATTAGTATAATTGTGTGGCAAGTACAATCATACTCTATGTCCAGGGAGTCGAGAAATTGTCTAACCCGAAAAATTCCTAGACCGGACCGGGAATCGAACCCAGTCACCTCCAGCATGGTCTTGCTTTGTAGCTGCGCCTTTACCGACTGAGCTAAGGGAGGCCCCTTATTCAGCCGCTACCGCTGCATTATTGCTTGCAGCTCCGAAACCAGTGAACGTGACTTCCGCTTCCTGACATGTATGTTTATGTTCGCCAGGTACTTTTTCTCTGTTTGGCCGGTTGCACCGACCTCCACCGACACCGACCACCGACCGACCTCGGTCTTCCTCTTCAACATCCTTGTCGCTGAGGGTCGTCGGCCGTCCGGAACCGGGCTTTCTTTCGATGCTCTGATTGTTGTCTAATAGTGCCAAGATGTTGTAGATGCCGGAACGTGTATCCGGCGTCATAAAGTGCCGCACGATGTCTGTTTTCGACGCGGCGGGGTGTCGTTCTTTGAACGCGCACACTTCTGAACGGAGTTGCTTCACTGTTTTTGCCATCACGGTTAGAGTTCGACTGATGGAGCTGTCAAATTTTGTCTGCTGACTCATGGGTTACTATGACTGATGTTGCATGGGTAGTTTCGTCAGTGCAGGTGAAGGTAAACACATGAAAAATCGACAATTTTTGTCCATTTTTTTAAATGCAAACGTTATTCAACATTCTTGAATCAAACGCTTTGCTCGCGACTTACATTATGAATACTGTTGTCAAATAAATTATGCACGGGTATCAGAAGACTGATTTAAAAGGGTTGTGCTGAAGTGAATTGAGGTATGCATTCAAAGTCACACCTTACTGCATATCCGACTGAACATTGTACGTTGAACAGCTTTAGTTAAACCTCATGACAGGTATATTTAGGAATACACAACCGTGAACTTCATTCCATGTATCCTCTTTTTTCCAAGAGGGCCTGTTCATAAACTACGTAGATAGTTAAAGGAGGGGAGGGGGGGGTTCAGAGTTTAGTGATTGTAATACAATTTGTATTTGCCAGATGATCAAGAACCGCTATCTATTCTTCACACCAAGCAGATATTTTGAAATTGAGTGTCCATAGCTGCCCTCAAGGAGGAGTTATGCCACCACTATTGTGGAATCTCGATGCAGACACGCTGATGAGGGAACAGCGGCTTTCCTACCTATGGTTTAGTTGACGACTATCTCATTCTGATAGTTGGTTAGTGCATACGCACTTTATACATCAATTGCAGAACGCTCTTAGAGTTGTTAAACGTTGGTTTCACCATGTTGGTCGTTTGGTTAATCCAAACAGAACATCTACTGTCTTATTTTCTGAGTTTTGTTTGGCTCTGAGAACGATGTGAGTAGTCAAGTTAAATTGAATTCAGAGTCAAAAAAGCATGCATGACCTTTGGCCAGTGCAGAACAACCATTGGAAAAACCTGGGGACTATAACCTAAGTACATAAAATTGATTTACACAACAGTTGTGTGACCAATATAGGCCTACAGATGTTTTGCGTCGTGGCAGAAAGGAGAGGTAAGAACCGTTCATACAAAATTGAGCCATCTCCAACGGATGTACTTTATGGCTTTGTCTAGAGTGTTCTCTACAACTCCTACTGCCGCAATCGCAGATTTATTCGATGTGACACCACTATACATATATACTACGCGTCATAAGGACTCGCATAGAAAAATATTGCAACACCCATTGGAATGTTACATCAACCCCCAAAACGTTCAGCAACACCTACAAAATGATGAAAAAGCTGAAAAACGTGCTGAATTCGCTTGAGAAAGATAGAATTTGCGTCTTTGGAATTTGAAAATGTACCGATTCACTTCAGAAAAGTTCGAAATCACTTTGTAAAATAGTAAAGCATTTTATAAAAAAAAAACAACTTCCAAAAGAACTGAATCACGTCAGAAATATTAGGAATCAACATCGGAAAACACTAATTCACTTCATAAATGTCCAAAGTCTCTTCGTAAACTACCTAATCACTTGACAAACGATCGAAATCATTTCGAAATGTACTGAAGCACTTCAGCAATATTCTTAACCACTTTGGAAAGTACTGAATCGCTTAAGAATAATCAAATTCTCTTCTGAAATTATTGAATCACTGCAGAAATGTTCGACGTCACTTTGGAAAGTACTAAATCACAACGAAAATGTTTAAATCACTTCGGATAGCTCTAAACCACTTCAAAATCACTTCTAAAAGAACTGAATTATTCCAAAAATGGTCAGACCTAATTTGAAAGGTACTGATTCACTTCAAAAAAGATTGGGCCCATCGCTAAAAATCTGCTATTTATCAATGTTATCTAGATGAACGCGTCATTGGGACGGTAGTAATGGATATTTTTGGTCGCTATTGAAAATTTAGTCGATTTCTGATTTTATGTATGCGCCCAAATTAGGGACATTTAGGTCGACATTACATCCATTTCCCCTACATGAAATCTTAAAATATAATTTGCAGCTACCTCCCCCCCTCCCCTGTCCCCCCTTGGTTACGCCTATGCTGACAAATTAACTTTTAAAAATAATCCTCCAAAATTTCTCGTCCGTTTTCATTCGAGCTGCGTACCAAGTTTATGGGTAAAATCCGAAATTTGCCAACATTGATTCGAGCCTCGGGCTGATTAGTTATTGCATAACGATCATCCCTATTTTATAAAGACTACATCCATCCAAACAATTAATATTACTCACCATACATGTCTGCTGGTTAAGACACACGAAAAAATAATTGAAAATCCGAAGAGCGTTTAATTCGCACCAACTATTCGCATCAAATTAAGCATGACATTTAGCATTAACAACATTCGTTCCACAATTTGTCCGGCATGCATGATCAACCGCTCACACAGGTTACGAAATAATTTACCCAGTGGCATACAAATAGCGAAAAAAAAACTGCATCATCTGCACCCATCAAGCAGGGTCCTCTTTTCCTGATGCAATAGTTCAGTGTGTCACCCGCCGTACACCACCAACCAACCAACCAACCCGTTGCTGTCAACCTTTGCGTTCGGAACATGCGAATCACCTGGCGATGGAAATACCTACCTTGCCTTACCTGCGACTGCGATGGCTACATTGTCGAAAAGTGTGCAATTCAAACGGCCATTAAAGGGTAGGCGATTATGGCTTAGCAGCAGGAGAAGCGTGTCGACGCGATGTACGCAATTCTCGTTTATAGGTGATAAATCATTCGGCGGATGACCCCTTCGGTAGACTGGTCGGTCATTAGGCAGTTGATGATGAAAATGAAATTCTGAATGACAATGATACCTACCGAAATCTATGCAAGCCGCACCAGACTGAAAACCCTCCGGTCATCATTTTTCTCAGATGGACATTTATGGGAGCTTCATCATCAACTTTTTCACCTCACGTTGCATCACATTTAGTCAACGGCACATGTGCCGCACGATTCACGAGAGGTGACGGTCTCTAATGTCCTAATGATCATTTTCATTTTCCGTCCATTCAATTTAGTGTATTTCAACAAGCCACAAGATAAATGATTCGCCCGTAGTTGAAAGATCGCGCGACTTGCTTACTCCGTCAGCGTCGTCAGCCGGAATCCAACCGCCTCGTCCGTCTCAATGCCAATGTCCTCGAGCAAGTGCTGTTTGCTCTTCGGGTAACCCTCCATGATGTGACCGATCATCTCGGTGCAGATTCGCTTGCGCTTGCGATACGCCGACAGGTAGAGGTTGTACTTCTTCTCCAGCTCATCCTTGTCCAGCTGTGGTGGTGGTGGAGCGTGGGAGGATGATGACTCCTTTTCAGCTGCACGAACTTCCTCCAACTGACCGCGCAGCAGCTCGATTCCGCGCTCCAACGATTCGATCTCCTCGAGGGCCTCTCCAACTGTCATCTTCGAGGACAGCTCGGTTAGTGCGGTTTCGAGCGAACGGATCTGCTGCTGCCGCCGGGTCAGTTCCTCGCGGAGGCGGACGCAATCCGTGTCCAGTTGTCGAATGAGCTCAGCGTGCTGTCCGTGTCGTGTGGTGGGAAAAGGAAAATAGGTGTAGATTTAATAAAAAACTGTAATTACCCGTGATAGGTGAGGTACACGGTAGCCGCGGTGCACTCGTCGTTGGGTTGTCTGTGGGATGTACTTTATCAGGTTAAGTTCAGTGAGTCGGGTTAATTTACTAGCAATAATGGCTGGTACGTGGAGGGTTTTTTTAATTAAAATTGCCGCTTATTTTTTGCTGGCATGGGAATAGAGTTGCTGCTCTGTCAATATCGATTCGATTGCAGCAATGAATGGAATGTGTTTGAAGGGATGGTTTCGTTTCATTTGTAGCGCCATTTTGAACAGTTGTTGAGCTGTTGGATCCTAAGTAATATTGCAAGTTTTTTTAAGGTTTTAAATCATTCTAGAAGCCAAAACCATGGTCTACAGAACCCTCATAAAACCATAATTGTTAATTGGGTTGTTTAACTTCAAAAATATACCGGTTTTTATACATCATATGATAGAGCTTCGATTTCTCAGCACAACGATATTTTTATCGATTCCGTAGACATTCATCTAGATTTTTAAATCAAGGTTTAAAATTTTGATCGTTGACACTAAATCTATTCGTTGACAGCTCGCTCTCATACAAAGGAATCGTGCTTATTTAAAATAGTTCCAGTGTACCAATTGATGAAATTTTGGATTTCAATTCCATTTTTAATGCAGATAACGAGTATGCATTTATCTCAATACCCCTAAATAACCCAATTGGGCTGTTATGGCATATTTTGGATTTATACATTTGTCTTATTTTCTTCTTATTATTCTTTAGATTTCAAGTAAATTACTTATGGCATATTGGCTTATTGCGTGCCCTTAACATAGTGTTCTAGGTGCACTTCCACAGTTATTAATTGAGAGCTTTAGATGTCTGTACCATCGTTGCATGAGTATAATTGTGTGGCAAGCAGTGTCTGTTTTTATCATTTACCATCACACGCGGAGTAGCGCCCCAGTGTACACACTTAGATTATTTTACCAAAATCTGTGAAATTTTACCGAAATCTCAACAGCTGAACGTTTGGTAAACAGTTCGGTGATTTTTTACAATTTTCCTGTAATTTTTCACCGAACTGTTTACCAAACGTTCAGCTGTTGAGATTTCGGTAAAATTTCACAGATTTCGGTAAAATAATCTTAGTGTGTAGATAAATTGCGTTCGTTTTGAATATATTCGCTGTTACGTACGAGCGCTAAATGATTATTTTAAATATTGTGGATTCCAGAGCCTAAACCCGGTATTATCATCAATTCAGCATGAGGCAATAATTTTCTATCAATCTGTGTATAAAAATCAATACAACACGTTCTACAACGTTATATTTGTGTACTATGAAAAAAATCATTTTGCATTTGATCTTCAAAATCATCCCCACTAAGATGAATGTTGATATTGACAACAACACAAGCGATAATAAACTTCCAGCCAGGAATGAACAAAAACAAATTTCGATTACTATTTCAAAGGGACGTATCAGCTTTTGTAAACAATGCATTTGATCGCCGATTTGGCGTAACTGGTAGCTCGCCCACGCATGCTAACGCTACCATCAGGGAAAAAATTCCCTACCTGCTAGTGGTGTTAGTAAGCGTGTGCGAGCTACCAGTTACGCCAAATCGACGATCAAATGCATTGTTTATAAAAGCTGATACGTCCCTTTGAAAAAGTAATCGAGAAATGTTGACTTCGTTACTCAGAGGTTGCCTTGATCAAGAGAATGTGTTTACGTCAAAATTCAAATTAATGCAGGTACTCGAGCAAAGTCCAGCATCAAAATGACAGCAAATTGAAATCAAGTTTTGATATCAACATCAAACTGAAATCATAATTTGATTTCAGTTTACGCAAAGATTTTTTTGCTCTCAATTTTGATATTTTAACCGTTAAAACGACCAAAACGACAGCAACCTGAGTAATCATTATCAGCGAAATCACAACATCACATTTAGATTTCCATTTGATCCAAGACTTTGCTCGGGTAGTCTATCTGTTAAGTCTTCATTTTCAGCTAAGTTGAGTGTAGTAGGAGGGAGTGATGAAAACGTCGCTAGAACTATTCCACAGCCGAAGTCAGTTTATGAGCAAAATAAGGACGCAAATTTTTTGCCTGTAGACTTGGAGACATACTTCAAGTCTCCGCGTACATCGAACGGGTTAGGCAAAAGATGTGCGTCTAACTTCAAAAACTGTCGCATTAATGGCCCTTCGCTCATTTCCAACTTCTATTCAATTTTCATACTGCCGTACTCTAACGGAACTATCCACCTACTCTCTTCTAAAGATCATTCTCAAGCTAATAAATTATCACACTGAAGCTTCATGTTAGCATTTCCAAACAACTCTGTAGAAGGAATGATTTTTATCAGCACTGTGGTGGCAAGTACAATCATAATATATGTCCAGGGAAGTCGAGAAATTTTCCAACCAATTGGACAATGAAGATTCAGAGTACCGTAAAACAGGGTAACATTGATAGTTTTTTAAAGTATATTCTAAATAATATTTACAGCAATGAATGCTTTTCAAATTTTATATTTTTAAAACAAGTAGGGTTGATCTAATTTCCGTCCTACTAAGCACAACCCGCGCTTTACCTCTCTTTTCTGAACGAGTTTAAACAAAGAATAGAATATTTCTGTCAAATATGACTTGCAAATTTATTCACCTTTCCATACGTACCGTTGGATTTGATAAAGAGTCACAAATTGTTGAGATATTGTTTAAAATCTAACACTGCTTCTTGATTCTAAATTCGTTCTACGAGTTTCAATTCCGTCTTAACGCATTGAAACGCCATTAGATTTTCTTCGTCCTACGGATAAACGTAGAAAAAGGGGATTCGCTAGGAGCACTTCTTTTGTTTTGAGAACAATGAGCGTAAATATTCATACAATGCGCTCTAACAGGATTTATGTTGTAGCTAATGAACTAACGCATCGGAACAAACCTATTATTGATTTGATATTATTGATCTTTTCTGATCGATAGAACGGAAATGGGCGATTACGACGAAGTAGCGCTCTACCCTACTGAGGATCCAAGAGTCAGTTCGTCAGTAATATGTTTAAAGGAAATTAAAGCATTTGTACTATTTTTTAGTTTTGTGACCGAACTTCAGTTTTTTGATTTGGGATTACTTTGATAATGCTCGATGAATGTAGAAAAATATGGTTGAAACTCAAACAATTTAGTTCTTTGAATATGAAACTTTGAATGAGTATATATTCAGAAAACATCATAAGCAATAAGAATACCACATTGTATTTGTGATGGCTATATCGGAAATACATTGCATAAGTGATGGTTTGAGTGCTTTTTCAAACAGGCGAAAAACACGAAAATTGTTTTTTAATATGTTTGTAAAATATGTAACACATACTATATAAAAACTATATACAATATCAACAAAAATACCCTAAGCCACAATATGGAACTAATGTTTCTGATTTGTAAAAAGTGCAACGAGTAAATTTAATCTTTGCATTATACTATCAAAGTTACCCGCATTATCAAAGATACCCCGTTTTACGGTACTAAATTTGACGATGGTCGAAAGACAAAGAGTCGTAGGGATGAAAACTCGTTAGGGTGAAACGTCGAATGGACGAAATGTCGAATTAAACATAGAGGCATAAAATGCCCAATGGAATGAACGTCGAATGGACACAAGATCAATTCGATAAAAGTGAGAATGAACAAATAATCAAATTAAACGTAAACAGATAAAAGATTTAATGGATACAAGTTCGAAAAGTTAACGACATAATCTACAAAACATTCCAGGGGACTTTTTCTGGTTCAAAGAAGTAGTATATTCGAGAGACGGTCGTCATTTTGTCTACATCTATTCTAATTTTAGGTTAAGTTTCAATCGACATTTTTGTTCAGTCGACTATTTTTCCCAATTAGATTCATTCGAATTTAAAGATTCCAGTCGACCTTTTGCCCATTTTTTTCGATTAGATCTTCGGTCTTCTAGACTTCATTCGACATTTTTATTAATTTAGACCTTTTGCCTGATCGACCTTTTGTCTATGCATTCGACCTTCTGCCCCTGCTGTTGGTCTTTAGCCCCTTCGTCTTTTTTTCACTTCGATCTATTGTCCATTCAACCATTCCTTCATCGCATTTTTGTCTTTGTTCATTCGACCATTAATTCTCCAACCAGCGGAATTCAATCAGTTTCAACAGTTTCAATAGTACCGGGAATTATCAGGGTATTTAAAGCAATTACCGAATTAGTTAGGAAAGGAATTCTGCTTTTCAAGAGATCTGGGAGTTTTAGAGTTTTGCTTATGTGCCATGTTATCGTCCACCGCGTGGCTCAGAGAACGAAAATATAGCTGATTTTGCCCCGCTTCTGTCTACTTCATTGTATTGTTCATATATACATATCTTGGCTCGGCGTGGCACACGATCGATCTTAAGTAAAATTATCTGGAGAATCGAATGAAATAGATTTCGTCCACCGCCTGGCTCTGCAAACAAAGATATGGCTGATTCTGACCCACTGACCCCTATTTTATTTAATTATTCATAGATATCTTAGCTCGAAATGAAACATGGTCGGCAAAATGCGGCTGGTATTACGTAAATTTCTCTGGGGAATCGAAGTAATGTAGTTTTGTGCACCGCGATGCTAATTTTAGTCCGCTTCATCAAATTTTGTTGCATTTTCATATATATCTTATCACATATATCGGAGTGAAATGGGATTAGTTTTATTTAAAATTCTCAGCAGACTCGAATAAAAGTAGTTTCGTCCACCGTGCGGTTCTGTGAACAAAGATATGTCTGATTTTACCCCGCTTTCCCCTATTTCATACACAGCTCGAAAAAGTAGTGTAAATTTCTGTTCAATATGAATCACATTAATGGAGCGTCACATATCATATCCGGAGAACTTTGATATTTGGGCGTAATTGCTTTTGTAAACAATCATGTCAATCTCTGATTTCTCACGAATAAAAGAACAATCTCGTGAACAAACTATACTATGTTAGTTTTTGAGATTAAGCTTTAATTCTAAAAAAATCGTCAAATGAAGTGTTTGTTTACAAAAGCAATTACGCCCTAATCTCGAAGTTCTCCGGATATAAGTTAACCAGCGAATCCAAACACATAAAGCAACCAACGATACAGACAAAATGGTTGCTACGACTACCATGACAAACTTGCTCTTTAACATAGATCGATCGGAGTGGTAGAAAGATAATGATATATTGCTTGCCTGCTGCAATATACACAGATGAGGACATAGCTTGATCTGAATCGAGAAAAGTCATAACAAACAAATGCATCTTCAGCTTTACTTCGTGAATTTGTTCGTTTCCTTCTACCGCCGCGAGTGAGCAGTGTCGCTCGGGCCGCTTGTCATGAAAAAAGGAAGAAGATTGTATCATTATTGCTTTCCGCTTCTGAAATAGCGTTAAGCTGGGTTTAGACTAGGCAAGTCAAATGATCAACTCAGTTGAATTCAATTGGCTTGAAAAGTTGAGCCTGGTTCAACTTTTTTCAATTCAAGTGAGTTGATCAAGTCAGTTGAATGGCATGGTTTACACGGTCAATTCGCGTTCAAGTCAGTTGAATTCAGCTGACTTGATCAATTTACTTGCCCTGTCTAAACCCAGCTTTATCATTCGGTTCGTTGATCGCTTGTCATTTTGTCATTTGGAGATATTTTTGAATCCATGAAGTTTGCATTATGAATCGTGTAAAGTTCAGAGACTTTTCATGAAATGTTGCAAATATTGTATGCAAAAGCCCATTTTTGTAAACAACATTGCGTACATGTTGCTAGTTTGCGTAAAAAGAAATACTGCTGTGTTGATCTCTTAGCTCGGAGTGCCACACGATCGACAAAATGGAGCTAGTTTTATGTCCAATTGACTGGGGCAGCGAATGAAAGGGGTTTCGCCAACCGGGCTGCTCTGTGAAAGAAGATATGGCTCGCTACAAAAGGGTAACAAATCTAGAAGAAGAAAAAACCAAGTACTTCAGGAGATTTGAAAGAACTTCAGGGAAGCTCCGAGAAAATCAGAACAGGTCAGATAAATTGCTGGAACCTTAAAGAAAGCTTCTGCCATGTTCTGAGAGGTGCATGAAAATGTTGGAAGCGTAAAAGAAGCTACATGAACATAACGAAAATGTGAGAAAATTTGAAGGGAGGCTCCGTGATTTTAATGGCAGATTCGAGAAGTTCCATTAATTTCATGAAAATTGTGAGAGTGTCTAAGAAGTTTTGAAATATTCGAAAGAAAGACTAAAGAATTTAAAAGGAGATCAGAGATTTGTTGGTAAAGGGTGTCCACAGTTAAATTGCATCACTTTCAAAGAGCTGTAACATTTTGCCCTTTGTGTTAATTTTAATGAAACTCAGCGCGTATTGTTTATTTGGAAGCAAGTGAGTGCAAGAAAAAGTGTTCCGTACTACGTTGACCCCAACTATTCCGTTTGGGATGTCACCTGGGGCTGAACCTGACAAAAAGTTTTGATCAGAAAGCCAAGAAATGAGCAGGACTACGTTCATTCAAGGTTCAAAAAGCACTAAACTGCAATTAACGACAGAATAGAACAGCTAGAATGCGAGCACGTAAGATGTACACACAAATGTTGACAAAACCACACTGCTGTATCAAGGACGATGTAACGTACGTAAAAGCAAACTTCAAACAAATTCTGGGAAGCCACTATGTGACTGCGAAAGACAAGTTCGATGTTTGAGTCCCTCACAGCAAGTGTCGAAGTTCCCTAAGAAATTAATGATTTGACGGACGATTTGTTCGTGCGAAAAACGGAGCAAGTCTTTTGTAACAACTACAATCGTAAATAGCCAAGTCTACATGAATGAGTGCCTGAAGAAACGACTGCTACCGTTTCTCAAGTCACACAACTTTCCTACAATTGTTGGCCGAATCTACACTCAAAATAATCCTCACATCAATTCTAAGTGAAAACATAGATAGATTTTTTACATCGCATTTTTCATGTAAGACTTACGTGATTCTCATATGGAGGTACTCAATTCAGTGAGCTTCAACGTCACTGAACTATCACGTAGAAGTAACGTGATTCTTCCGATAAAATGCATGGAGATTCCAATTGATTATTTAATTCCGATTCGATTAAAATAAAATGTCGAGTAAAATGTATTCTTTATTTTTTAAGAAACATAATACATAAAACAAACACATTGGCATTAAACATATCATTAAAAAAAATTCGAAAGAGGCAAGGATCGGGAACAGGAACACTAACAAAAATGCATCGGCTTATAACTTCCACTTGATTTAAAGTCTATAAATGATGGTCCTTGTCGTCATACTAAAAAAGGAACAAACTTAATTGATCTCCGTGTAAATTTTAATTAATTATACTTACAACTCGAAATTGTCTCAGTAAAGACCAAACTAATCTGGATTTCAATGGCATGTAAATATGCACAATGAACTAGCGCCATATTGTACAGCAATTTGAGTGAATCACTCATTTATTTTTTCATATGTGAAAATCACTTAGGGTTCACGTGAAACGAACATAGAATCTGTATATGTGTTATTCACGTAAACTTCACAAAAAAATCTGACGATTTCGAAAGAAGTTTCGGTTCACATATAAGTGGTATCATGTAGAGTTTACTTCGGCCACGTAAAATTTACAGCAAAGGAAAAAGAGATACCATGCGTGATTTTTCACGTAACAACAACGTGTCGATTATTTTGAGTGTAGCTCCAGGCTCATTTGCTGTAGCTTTGCGGAGCCGATATTCAGGGTTTAGATTACAAACTCGCAGCTACCTCGAGGTTAGGGGTAATAATTGTAACAATTGGGTGTCACGGAACGGATCGAGAACACAGGGTTTGGAGAGCAATGTGCTCTTGATCTCGAACTAAGCGACATGCTGATGAAAAAGACAAACGCAAACGGGCAGCTATCAACTTGGGAGAACACAAGATGACACTAACTACTAAATCCTTAGATCGATCCGTTTTAAAAAGACATAAATTAAATGTAAACGGGTTGGCAAAGATTATTTTCCTCGGGCCCTGAGGGATGCGGATAACTCAGATCTAGCAACACAATGGAGGGTGCAAGACCAAATCACGTGGTCGATATCGTGATAGCCATTACCAAATTGCTGTTTGTGAGCCCGAGTCAGAAGAAATTCGAGTCTAACGATTAGTGATTGGACATGAGCCTTGACATGACACGTATAAAGTCACGGCTCATGTCCAATCCTTTGAACCACGGCTTGTTCGATACCTGTGGAAGAATAGAATCTAACCATCTTCCCAGATCACTCTCATTCCATTTTTGTTGCCAGTTGGTGAGGACTTGCTGACGGGTAATTGGAAAAAAAAATCCGCAATGGCGATTTGTTGATCAAAAATATCGCCTTCCATTGCGCCCACCTTCGCTAGCGAGTCCGCTTTCTCATTACCTGGAATAGAGCAATGAGATGGAACCCAAGCTAAGGTAACCATATAGGAGCAGTTGGATAAAGTTGTTTAGATCGTATTTCAGGTGTGAAATTTTTTGACAAGTACTGTGGAGCTTATTCAAGATTACGGTGCACAATTAATGTATGAGTTTTTCAATTGTAATTTATAGTACGAAAACGATACGAAAATCTACCTGTATGAGAGGATCGATGCATAATTTATGTATGAAAGGATTTGAAAATTTAGCTTTTAATATCCAAAGCGACAGCATTGAAGCGAACCATCCCGATCGACAGAATTTTCAACCAATTAAAAAACCCATATTGAATCCCCAAAATATGCTACGTAACTCCTCTGCAAAACCTTCGCCAACACAGCCCATCCGAGTACGACTTCACTTGTTTACTGCCAATTATTGCCATTACCCCCCGTGACGGTCTCGGACAAACCCCAACAACAAACCGGCGGTGGTTTACCTTAACAGTACCTAACCAGTTTAACTTTTCAACCCCCAGCTGCCACCCGCCACTCACCTCCGGTTTCCCATCCTCCTGGGCGATGCAGTAGATCTTTTGTTTACCGTACACCTTCTCGATGATCTTACCGCGACGCACCAAGCTGTCCAGGGCCCTGTTTTGGAACAGAATCAACAACAATGAACCGTTTAATTACCGGAATACAATTGCACCGTTTGAGCCCAAGCAAACTAGTCCGGCACTTACTTCTGAATGGACGACTTTCCCAGCTCCTTGACCTTCTCGGAAATGTCGGCCAGCGAAAAAGGGCGCTGCTGTTCGTCGAGCAGCTTCAGGACGGCCGCCTTCGTTGAATCCGACGACATTGCGGATGACATGTCTGCTGCGTTGCGTCGCTAATCTGCAGGGTAAACAGAAACGAAAAACACTCGAAATGAAACTCCACTTGACCGTAATTTGCCTACTATAGGTGAGCGTGATTAATTGAAATTCGAATGAAATCAATTCCGTCGCAGTAGGGTGTCCCCATCAGGTCCCGAGCGCAACGAATCACAAATCGATTCATGAGGCCATGATTAAGCTATTTAGGTTAGGCTAAATTTATTACGCAGTGGCGGGGGGGGGACGTTTTGCGTGACTGTCAACAGACGCTGCGGGTGGTCAACGTATGCTAAATGTGCACTCATTTAAAATAACCTCTCATTGAGGAACTTTGCTGAAATAAATCGTCTGACATGCACTCCGGGCCGGTGATGTGTTGACATGAGAATGGATTAAGATCGACCGAGTCGTTCTGTCTGGGAGACCCAGTTCATTTCAATGGGGTTTTGGATCTCTATACCTTTTCCCAACAGGGACAGGGAAATTTCAACCAAATGTTGCCTTGATGTTATAACAAGCCATCTGATTGTTTCTAGGCATATTATAAGACCTTGTAAGAACCACTCCAAATTTGATCCCCTCTGTTCTATTAACGAAATTGGGTTCACCAAAAGAAATATGTAATAATGAATAAATGTTCTAATGGTGGAATTTCTAAAATTATCTTCATGCTGATCGAACTGTAGACGTTCCTTACGTCAATTCAACTTTATAAAGCAACGATGATCATGCAATGCGTAAATCGCAATATGTAGTATTTTTGGAACTGATTGATCACATCTGCCATGATGTACGGCTTAGAGCAATCCTTCAGTAACCACTCCTATTTTTTCCCATATCTTCCTAGCGGTAGTCATCAACCCGCCAACCTTGACAACGCAATCATCGGCTGGAATGATCCTCCTCACGCACCGCCGTCGTCGTCGTCGTCGTCGATGGTGGCGGCATGTTTGTCTTCCCCTCGAATCTCTCGCTGTTATGATTATGAATACATTCCGCTTATGCCTACACCCAAAAGGGTCGTAGATAGGTACTTTAATCACCATACAACCGCTCTCTGCGCTGAAGGAGCTTGTTTTGATTAGAGATTGATGCTTCAGTCCGGACATCAATAACAAACTGTTTCGGTGATGCGCAGCTACGAGACGAGCATATGTGTAAACTTATACCCTCCATAGGAGCGATGATGATGATGATCCACGGATGAGATGTTTACCCACGATCCCCGCCCTATTCTGCTCGCTGAAGCATCGGGCAACCACTTTTGACGGATGGGCGGACGAAGCGTTCCGCGCTCGAATGTTTGTTTTGATTATTAAAACATTACTTCCTGGCTATCGAACATGTTTCTCGATTATTGTTGAGATATCGAATCGCTCGGTGTGAGAAGATCGATCCTATCGGTGGTGCAGATCTTAATTGGACGCAGTAGGAATTGGTATATGGCGAGACGATGCGATCGCCGATGGGAGATTTAGATTCTTGATAGGACCATTAGACCATTGTTAGTTTGATTCGTTGCGGGATCGATTACCTACGTCAAAGAAGACCACTTCTGATTGGGGGGGAGATCCTATCGATTGCTAAGATTTATTCATTAACTAAATGGATGGCAATATTGGCAAGCAAAAAAACTTCACGGGGTGCAATTATACCAATTAAGGATCGATTTATCCTTTTCAGAATTACTGGCAATAAATATTAATCTCAATTTTTCGATGTTTATGATCAAATAGTATTCATCTTCCGCTGGGCTAAATGCATCTAATTTGCAAAGATTAACTACGTTTTTTTTATCGAGCTAATTGAGAGTACAGATGGGCAGATCGGATTCTTTACACTCCGAATCATAAGTTTGGGGACAGATTGGAAGATCGGTTGAAAATTTAAAAATATGCTTTAAATCAATAAAATGGTTACTTAAGTCCTCGATCAAATGTTTCGAGTCACCCCACAGTATGGTTTGTCGCAGTCTGAAATTTGGAAAATGTTGTAACTTTAAGAGAAGTTTAACTATAAAAAACATTCAAAATATATTAAACCAGTTACCTACGCACCAAGTTTCCGCCAATAAAGGGCGAACACGAAATTATTGCGACACCGAAAATGTCATGCCAATTTTCTTATAATGTTTAGAATCGAACCAAAATTTTAGGGTAGTTTTATACATATATTTACTTCAAAAATCAAAAGAAAAGTTAATCGATGGAGCCTTGAGTGTAAAATTGAACGCATTTTCGCTTGATGCCCTCCATCAAAGTCTTTACAGTGTCATCCGGTACCAGTTTCTCAGTTTTTTTTTCCATTTTCTTAACATTTCCTTCTCGTCTTTGACTGTCTTCTTGCTCTTCCGAAGTTCCCGCTTCATTATTGCCCAGTACTGCTCCACCGGGCGCAGCTCCGGACAGTTTGGCGGATTCATGTCCTTTGGAACAAAATGGACACTCCAGGACACTTTTAGAATAGTGGCATGATGCCAAATCTGGCCAAAATAGCGGAGCTTCGTCGTGCTGCTGCAAGAACGGCAAAAGGCGCTTCTCGAGGCACTCAGATTTGTAGATCTCGCCATTTACTGTGCCCTTTGTCACGAAAGGCTCACTCCTCAGTCCGCAAGAGCAGATGGCCTGCCAAATGAGATATTTGGAGGCGAACTTCGACATTTTCTTCTTCTTAAATTTGTCGTCCACATCGAACTTGCTCTTGCCGGTGAAAAACTCCAACCCCGGAATTTGCTTAAAATCGGCTTTTATATACGTTTCGTCGTCCATCACACAGCAGCCATATTTTGTCAGCATCTTCTCGTAGAGCTTCCGTGCCCGAGTTTTAGCCGTCGATTGTTGCCGCTCATCGCGGTTTGGGAAGTTCTGTACCTTGTATGTATGTAGTCCAGCTCTTTTCTTTGCATTCTGGACGTAGCTCTGCGACATGCCGATCTTTTTAGCCAAATGACGGCTTAAGACGTTGGGATTTGCTTTAATCATCCGCTTCACCTTTCCCTCCGTCTTTTTGTTCTCCGGTCCCGGTTTTCTTCCAGCTCCTTTGCCGTGGTCCAACGTCAACCGCTCCTGGAACCGCTTCAACACTCTGGAGACGGTTGAATGGTGAATGTTCAACATTTTTCCCAACTACCGGTGCGACAGGTCAGGAAATTCCAGGTGTTTGGAAAGAATTTGTTCTCTCAACTCGCGTTGGTTCACCTCCATTTTCGTTGAATCGAAAAACACGACTTCGAGTTTGACAGCATGTACACAATACACATCAATGAGAAAGTATGCAAAATTTGGTTGATTTTTACCCAATGGTAAAAAAGTTATGCCCTGTTGAATGTGTCGCCCTTTACCTTTCAAGTGACCTCAAGGGGTGGTCACTCTACATTAGCATTGGGTGATCTTGAGGCAAGAATCGATCTTAGTGAATCGATTATTTCTTTGAAAATAATCGGTTCAACGATTTAATCACTGATTTTGAATTGATCTTTTTGAATCGATCTTTTGAATCGATTTATTTTTCAAAATGGGACAAAAATGTTTCAAATATAACGGATCACAGGAAAGTTGATGCAAATTAAGCCAAGTTCAGTCTAGAGTTGATATTACGTTACATACCTAAGCTATCTTGTTATGACATTTTTTTTATATAATTTAGAAATAAATTGTGTAGTACGTACGCAGTGAATATTGTGAGTGTAACATACATCACTGCTGGTCATTGAAATAGGTGTAGGCAAAATAAATGCAAAATTTTAGTTTATGTTCATTCAACTTCATTTTATTCGACTTTAAAGTTAAGCATTTGATAGTGTAATAAAAATTAAGAAATTGCACGAGAAAGCTCAAAGTTAAAACATTAAATGACTCACTCATTAGAATCATATGTAAAATATGCCTGGTCAATGAAATAGATGTGCTACATAAAACTATAGTATAGAAAGCTTGAAAATAATCGTGTATGTTTTATTAGACTATTGACGCTTAGTAACCGCTGTGTCCTCCAATGTTAAGTAGAACCTTGTTCAATATTCTTGGAATTGATTCAACCAAGCACTGAAAAGTTTCCTTTGGTATAGCATGCCACTCTTTTTGGACTGTGGTCCATAGTTGATCCTTATTTGAAAATGCTTGACCAGATAACTTTATTTTAAGCTCGTTCCATAAATTTTCGATGGGGTTGATGTCAGGAGATTGGCTAGGCCATGAAATAACCGACACTTTGTTTACACGAAACCATTCCTTTACATACTTTTTTTTTTTTTTTTTTTTTTTTTTTTTTTTTTAACTCTTTATTTGTTCCAAATTCAAAATAAATTACATTTCATTTTAACCTAGGTGCTCCAGTTACTGCAGTAACTTACCAGCCTTAATTGTTATGATATATATCTAAGTGTTTTTACATTGTTCATGTCTTGGCAATTCAGTATTTTAAACAGGTTTTTTAACCTGCATGTCAGTATAACAATTGATATCTTAAAACTAAACACTAAAACTAAATCTTATCTAAGTATAAAGGGAATTAATCGTTGCAATTGAGGATTGCAACGATTTTTGCCTGAAATTATTAATTATTTTGTTGGACATTTGTGCTAAAGTCTCAACATTCGAAATTCTATGTACTTCGGTTGTACTGTACCAGGGAGGCAACTTCAAAATCATTTTCAGAATTTTGTTCTGAATTCTTTGAAGTGCTTTTTTCCTGGTAGTGCAGCAACTAGACCATATTGGTACAGCGTAAAGCATGGCCGGTCTAAAAACTTGTTTAAATATTAGAAGTTTATTCGTCAGACAAAGTTTGGATTTCCTGTTTATAAGAGGATACAAACATTTTATATATTTGTTACACTTGGCTTGAATGCCCTCAATGTGATCTTTAAAAGTTAATTTTTGGTCAAGTATTAATCCAAGATATTTCACTTGGTTTGACCAGGAAATTGGAACTCCGTTCATAGTGACTATGTGACTACTACTAGGTTTCAAAAACGAAGCTCTAGGCTTATGTGGAAATATTATAAGTTGAGTTTTGGAA